TATGTACCGAGTATTTGGTTGGTAACAGATTGCCTCCAAAGAGTCTGAAATCCTTGTTCGACCGAATAACTGCCAATGGTAGCTTTGAGTAGATTCAATGTTCACAAATTGGTCTTCAATTGAATTAGAAATTGTGTTCATCGCATGCTTCTAGAGTCTGAGCAGTTCCATCTAGAGTAGGTTTTCCGAACTTCTCCGTGATGCTGGACAACGCACTGTTGCATCAGCACCTGTGTCAGCTTACAGTTTAAAGTCAGTGCCATCAATGACGGCACTTTCATATGCAGCGGCCATGCCGATGAGATTTGATGCTAAAAAGGTTTCTTCTTCAGTGCCGTTCTCGGAGCCCTTTTTATTTCTCCCTCTGAAAACTGACCCCCATCAGCCTGATTACTTACTCTCTTATTAAATCTATTTTTGCCGATGTTGTTGTTGCTTAACCTACTTCAAAACTTTTTTGCAAAGATGAGTTACATTACTCACCCGATGGCAGACCAGATTTATCACCATGCTGTTTTCTTCAACGGAACGAACATTCCAAATTTTGCCATTGCAGGCCTTATAATTTCTGTTTTTTTTTGAGGTTTGACTTAGAATGATAAGCAATTTCTTTTTTAAAATCACCCTTACAATTCTCAGCAAAATAATGTGCTTGATCGCTTAACTGTAATTTGGGTTGCAAATCAATTGGATATATGTCTGTTTTAACTCAACTTAAGAATAACAAAGTCAATAGAATTGTCAATGAAAACTTGGCTAGTTCTGCAATGATCACATGTTCACTGAGTCTGCTGTAGTCAAAACAAGCCTCCTCAACTTCATGATTGCTTGCAGTCCACTTTGACTGAGGAACAAAACTCGACGTTTGAAGATGCGCGTTCGTTTCCTCTCCAGCTTTGTCAACTTTCTCTAGGCGTGCTCTCTTAGAGAAACCAATCTGCCAGAGACTTGCCTTGTAGATTTTCGAAGAAGCTACTGAACTTCTAATTTTAATCATCTCAAGTTTCCCGTCTGAACATTACTGTTATAGATCTGTGCAAGATGACTCATTTTTTTGATGACTCAATTAAAGTTATTTGGTATTTGTAGTTGTTATCAGTGGGAAATGTTAAAACACGTAGTTACAAGATTTGTAATTACGGATAAATTTCCTTTTTATTCGCAAGTTTCCTTCTATGCTAACTTTTTCGAAAAATTTTCAGAAGTTTTACTAAAGCATTCATGGATACGATTGATTAGAAGCATGCTAATTTATCATAGTGACACATTGTGATAATTGGTTAATTCAACTGATAATAAAAAAACAGCGATAAATACGAAATTGTTTCTGAACCAATTTAACACGCTTCAACAGATCAGGTAATTTCATATATTTATTCTCTTTAGGTTTGAAACTTAGGTTTTTAATCCAATGGTTTCTCAGATAATACAGTGAGCGGAGGAAAAAGAGCCCTTTTTGTCTGCCTGTAAAAATCACTATTGTTTCACATATGCAAAAGTATACAACCAGTACTGTAAAACTACTGTTCAAATGCCATAATAGCCTTGATATGTGATGAAATTGAGTCAACACTGATTTTATAACCAATGATCCTTACCAACGTTCAACCAATCTATCCAAGGATACAAATAATACTTTGATAAAACTCGATCAATGGATTTGTAAGAAATCTTTTGCTATAAGACAACATAAGGAACAAAAAACTTTAAAAAACTTTGAACCGATTTTAAGTTGTGAGAGATGCACGGCTTGTCTAGCGTTTTGCATTTTTTGTTAATTTCCACCAAAGTTTAAACTGTTTTCACCAAAATTTACTCTGTTTCCAACAAACTTGACTTCTACAATACTATCCTATTTTCAATTTTTTTGGCAATAAAACTGCCTTCTTACAATTTTTATCAAATTTTTGAGGTTTGAAACACTTAAATGACTGTTTTACATAGTCACGATACGTAACAAAACTTAAATTTTCATCTTTGGGAAAAAACGTTGAATTTACCACAATTTGCGGTCAGTTTTTTGCAAAACTATAAAACTGGTATTAAAACAGATTACTTCGCACCTTAAAAAAAATTGTCTTCTATGGGTTCAAACTCGTTATCACCGGATAATCACCTCTGGTAAACACCAAAATTATCAGTACTCGTGCAGGACAAAAACAAAGAATCCGAAAAAAAAACAGCTTTGTAACACTGTTCTAGTGCTGTGACAGTACAACTTTTTTTTTGTTTCTTTTCCTTTTTATTCTGCAAGAGCTTTGCAAAGAATAAAAACTCTGGGTTTATTTTGAAAGAGTACTGAGTTTAATTGACCCAACAATCCGGGAAACCTATAGTGCAGCTCGAAATGCTTAGCTAATTTCTTTGAATTTTTCATTTTTTGAAAGTTGCTGTTTTCACGACCCTTTCCACGCGCAGACAAAAATTGCGTTTTTTTGTGCTTTATAGCAATATGATGCAAACACTAAGATAACCAGCGCAAATTTAAGCGTTTTTTTTATATTGATACATGCCAAAAGAACACTTTTTTTTCAAAAAAGCTTTTCTGGATTTTTTTTTCAATTTTTCCAAATAAACGAGCAGTGTTGTTGTCTTGTTGCTCCGACCAGTTCACGAAGTGGAGGTAAGGATCCAAGCCGCGGTGCGAATTTTTCCAACCAATTTTGACAGTTATAAAAACAATATAGAAGCACATATGGGGTATCAAAAAAAAACGTAATGTTAGTGATTGAGGTTTTCAAAATATCTCTTAGTCTGGAGAAAAATTTTGGTCGCCTACAATTTGTCAGACCAAGTAACTCAAAAATGACAGATATTGAGCGACAAAATACTGAACTGTCAGTTAATTTCCAGTACACATTAAACATTTTTATTGCTTTTTTCAATCATTTTGCTGCACATTTCGACAAAAAAAAATCGAAAAAACGGTTCTTTTTTTTTATTTTTAAAGTTTGCTCTGTGATTCAGGAAGTTCGACTCAAGGAGAATGCTGTTAAAACGTGTAATGCAATGTCATTAAGGATTCTTGTGAACAGCAACAGCTTTTTGGATAAGATAAAAGACAGCAAATAATGATGATTTGTTAAAAACATTAGTTGAAAAATCAAACTTAAACTGATAATTTCCATGAAAATAAACTTATTTCCAATATTTTTGAAAACTACCAATGTTTGCTCTTGAAAAATTGCAAACTTACAACTTTTTTACCTAGAAAAAATGTGCAGCGAAAAACCCTAGAGATCTATTCTCCCACCAACTGTCAGTTCCAGAAACCTTTTCAGTTGAGTTTTTGGTTACAAAACTTGGTGGATTTGAAATGCATGGAAAGAACGCTTTCCATCACCTGGAATTCATATCGAGCGCTAAAACAACAGACTAGACTAGTGATATCAAGAAAGCGAGCTCTAAAACAGTTCACAACGAGCTTCTAAGCATATCATAGGAGGTCTATAAACAAAACTTAAAGCAAGCTCTAGAACAATAAACTATGAATATCCTTAACCATCTAACTTTACTGGAATTGCAGGATAGTTAAAGAAGTATAGAAAGCGCATATGCTTAACCAGTGAAATAGGTCTCTTAGATGTAGTTATTTTTTAGGTATCATACGAATGAAAAGTAAAAATATTTGAAAGTAGTCAATTTTTGCGCGTATTTTTCAAATTAAATGCGGGATGTTAAAATTTAATGTTTTCTGAAACTAATTTAAAGTCAAATTTTCATGAGGGTTGCGATTCTGCTGGTTTAGGTTTATACTTTAAATCATTTTAATTTATCAAAATCAAAATTCAGCTGGAAACTCATACCATCGAAACTAATTTAGGGATAAATAGACAAGATTGCGAGGAAAATATCATCGCGTAAAGCAACAGAAAATCGGAAACTAGATCAGTATTTTGGCCACACTGTTTGTTTGGTTTTATTTAACACGTATCAAAAATTGTGCGCATTAATGTTTTCGTAAGGTTGCTAGCGAGTTTATGTCTCGAAGCCAAATTGTTCTTATCTCATCCTCTTTCAATAATGTTGGCTGTACCTAAAAGTTTATCTCTGCTTTTTTCTGGAAAAGAATTGAAACAACTTTTTTAAAAAAAAAAACTTGTTCCGACTTTCCTAACGAAAATAACGGCATATTTGTGCTCGGCGTGGGTTTTTTTTTCTCCAGGAAAATTTCGACTTTTTAACGAGTCATTTTTGACAGAATTTTTAATATCATTCAACAAGTATTGATGACTTGAGCTTAAATTTGAAAAGACATTTCACCTGTGATCATTTTTCGTTAGTTTTCCATCAATTTGGGACAATTAACGCGCGATATATTTTGCGCTATTAACGCGCATAAGCTGGGATTCGATCAGTCTTAGAAATCGATCCAAATTGGCAGAAGGAAGCTTATTTGCCATAATTGATTTGATACTAGGAGCAAAATTCATAACTTTGTACTTCTTATGACGTGTGGGGGATGATTTTCACAAAAAAAAGTCAGTTTTAAAAAAAATGCTTCAGGGTTCCAACTGGGATATCATATCAAACATTTTATCAGTCGTTATCGGAATTAACGAGGAAATTTTTAAATCTAGAGAAAAACTTGTCTGATTGTCTTGTATTTTACATCAGATGACCCTAAATTTTCGAAATACCTGCGATGAAATACTGAAATAAGAAATTAATTTTACCGCAGATGTAAAGTTACTTCAGCCATTGATTCCAACTCGTTTTTGCATTATTTATTTAATTGAATATATTTTTTTGGAAAACAAAGGTAAAATCGAAAACTGTTAATATATTGTTTACTTTTCCATATTATTCTAATTAAATTTGTATTTGATCATTTTTTGTCGTCAAGGATTGTTTTTTCCCACAAGTCAATCAAAAGCTTAAACTTATTTTATTTGCTACAAAATTTTTTTTCCGCAATGTCATTTAAAAGAACCAAATAGTTCAACTTTAAAGAGATAGGCCGCAAAGTATTTCTCTTAATTATTTCTGAAAATAAGTGGTTAATGTCAACATTTTAATTCAGCAGAGAGTCATATTCAGCTGTGAAATGATAGCATAACATAAATTGCAATGACGACATAGCTATGAAAGACATATCACATAAAGCATTGGTGAAACCGGTATGAAATCCAGTAATTCGGCCATGCTGTTTGGTTGATTCAATTTCAGAAGTATCCAAATGCCCGAATGATTTTGAGATCCCTTTTGTCCTTGTCAGAAACATTTCTAGTGAATCGATTTCTTGAAGCATGTCTGTTTTTCTACCCCCATGAATGGGCGTCTGGCCTTTTGTTAATATTGGCTCGTCCTAATTGTTTCTCCCTATATTCCCTGGAAGTTACCCGGAAAAGCCACTCTGATGAGTCCTCCTCGTTTTCGAGTGACGCCCAGTTTGGAGTTGGATTTTTTTCTTGGAGATATCCGACTGCTGAAAAAGAAACAAATTTTAATCATAACATAAAAAATTAGCTGAATTAAAGGTGAAAAATGTTGAGATATTAGAGCGTTAGAATACACTGTAATCGGGCTCTTTTTCACTCAAATTTACGATGAAAGATATGAAAACCAAATATGTTAAATATTGTTAGTTCGACAACGTTTTATGACAACGTTAAAGTAGTTTTTTAATTTGAAATCGAAAGGTGGGGGTAGGGGGGTGGAAAAGGGTCGACTTTTTTTCGCTTTTTTCGAATAATTCTCTTCCAGGTTTCCTCTCTACGTTTGACTATTTTTCATGGTTGTGATTGTGAGAACGTTTCTGCCGAATACCCAAAAATGTCTCGGCGATTAGAGGACTCAATCTAATTTTAAGTCGAGCCGCCGTCTCTTTCCCCCCCCCCAAGTGATATTCACTTTTGAAAAGCTCTTTTAACATTGTCAAAATGCAATGAAGCTTGGCTTGGTGAGCAAACTAAAAATTGTGAACTTATTTAATCTAGAAAATTTGAATGACAGGGGAAGTGTAAAAAATACGAACTATCTTTCGGCGGAGAGGTCGTTGGTTTTTTCTACTGTCTATGAATTAGTTTTTTTGCTAACTTTACAACAATCAGTTGCAATTTTTTGTGATTAAAACTAGAATCAGGTGTGCTTCTAGGATTTTTTTGAGAGGGCGGATTTTTAAAAAATATCGAAAATTTTGTCGACTTTTTTAGGTCGACCAAATTGATATCCCGAGCTCTCCGAAGATACTTAAAAGTTTTTTTGGCCAATTTTTTTGTGTCGCAGGCAAAATTTTGAAAAAAAAACGGCCAAAACGTTTTAAATTTTTTTTTTCGAATTTTTTTACCAAAAACTTGTTTTTTCGGCGCGCTTCCTTCTAAAGGTTAGTACTTATTGGCGCCTTAAGAAAAATTTTAGACTAGGATAGATTTTAGCCTAAATTTTAGCCCTTAGGGTCCGTCAGCCAAAAATGGATATCTCAAAATAGTTCAAAGGGGGACCCTTTGGGTCGGCAGGGGATCAAATCACTGAGAAAAAGGCGTCCGTACGACCCCCCCCGCCCCCCTTGAAGCTGCAACTAGAACATTAAATCTTCTTATAATGATGAAAACTAATTAGTTACCTTGAAATGGCAGTAATCCGAAGATACCACTTGCAAAAATGATTCGATTCTTGTCAAATTCAAAGCCTGAGTTTTGTTCCATTGTTGACCTTGAACACTCGGCTCGGAGAAACCAAACAAAAAATAATAAAATAAAGATGTTGACTTTTTTATTTGAAGTTTCTACCATTTTCAGTTTTATCAAAGCAAAGATTTGGAGACAAACTGCTCTTTATGATGTCTACTACTTCAAAAAGCATATAATTGAAAACTGACATTTTATGATTAAAGAGAAAACAAAAATATATATGGTGTATTTATTACTCAATTGACAACCTTTTTTGGCAACAAAAAATTTATTTCCCCTTAAGTTAACCACCAAAGTTATCTCAGACATAAAAAAACTGCCATAAATTAGACTTTCATCGCAAAATTAAATTGCCGCCAGTAAGTTATTGGCAGCCGTTTCCCAATCAGGAATAGAAAATTATTTTTACGGAAAAAAGAATTGATTACAAATAGCAACGCACGATGTTATTAACTAGTTGCTCTTTTCTTAATTCAAATTCTTAATTCTCTTGAGTATTGATTGGAGAAAAAATCAGCAAATAGTTAAATTATAATATCATCATAATTAAAACCAAAAGACAGAAATCTTTGGTAATCGGAGTTTCATTTTGAAACAGGAAGAGGTTTTTAATTGATTAATGTGGTAAAATGATTCACCATAAAAACTTATAACAACGCGAAGGTTTTTTTACTCGGTTCAAATAATGACGGGGGATGAATCCTTTTTCAAATCTACCTACAACCCCCCTTCCCCCCGCTCCGCCCCCTTCCTTCCATTTTGTTAATCAGATTTAAAAAAGTAGGTTCCCATTGATTTTAAATGAAAATTTGTGTAAAACTAAACGTAAATCACGAGAAAAAAAAAGATTTTCAAGAAGCATTGATTTATCATTACGAGGCCAAACTGTGCACTGGATAGGCGAACAACTTGATCTCTGTTTAATCCTGGATTCCAGAGACAAAACTTTAAACTGGTTACAAGAAAAATGGATTCCCTTTACAAAATTACCGTGGATTCCAAGTACAAATACTTATAACGTAAAATTTGTCAGCATTTTAGTTTTGGCGCGGTTTCCACAACGAGCGAATATAGCTAATTAGGATGCTTAAAAATCCGAAAGCAGTAGAGCAGTGTAACTGGATAGACTTTTCAGGCAACTTTGATAACAAAATTCCGAAACTGAAAACTATTCTGCGACTGAATTATATTGATATATTTTTGATTAAAAAAGCAAATAATTGTAAAATTTGTACCGACTGTTTTTTGACGCAATTTTTGAAATTTTTTAAATATATTTAGACAAAACAAAAATTCTCATGATCTCTGTTTTGTAAGATAATTTTTTAATCGGAAGTTAGAACGTATCATGAAAAAACCAACGTCTGTGAAAATTAAAGCTTTTTCATGTATTTAGAATTCACTGAAAAAATTTTAAATAGGCTTTTAAAATGAGCTCTAAAAAGCGGTGTACTCAAGAAAAAAGCTAATACACGACGAGAGAAGAGCTAAAATGTATGTGAGCAAAGTTGTATTCAAACAATGTGGTAGATCCTTAACGGAACAAAAAAAACTTGGAATAAAATCAAAACTTCATATCCCATGTTTGCAACCACAAGGTAATTTTAAATTTACGATACATTTGTTTTTGAACGAGGGTTTGGGCCGGTTTTTAATCCGATGCAAGATTACCACCCAATATTTCGTCCGTAATGCTTTTTTTCAATTGTAATTTAAAAAAACGGTCTCAATATCTGATTCCAACTTACAGATTGATAGAACGATAAGTGTATCAATTATATTAGCAAAATTTTCAAAAAACTAAGAAAAAGCAAACAATATCAACCTAACATACCTAACACTTAATACAAATATTTTTATTTCTATCAAATTACTTTCTTTTCCAAGCTCTTTTTTGGATTTTTAAATTTTTTTCTCAGTTTTTTCAGGTGCATTCTAGAAAAACGAAATTATTTAAAGGTACATACATTTCACGAAAGTTTTTACCCTTGGTGCATTCATTGATTCATTGACAAACTTTTTCTAAATCTGGTAAAACGTCCCACCTTGTTTTTCTACTTGTCTGGACGTACACAAAGATAGTCAAGAACTGATAAACAATGCTTAAAGTGTTTTCACGGAAATCTTTTTTTAAACAAAGAACTGGCGAATATTGTCCCAATTTTTTTTGAAATTTGAATTATATCTCGGTCAATTTCAGCGTAACCACAAAATGGTACTGCTGAAAGCTCAAGCCATCATTGGGAAGCAAGCGTCTTCTTCAGCAGCCAAATTAGTCATCAAAATAAGATAGAGTATTTCACTTGAATAAACTGTGATGAAGCTTACGTAAGTGTTAGCTAGCAAGCTTACATAAACTAGTCAAGTCTATGGTTCAAAATTTTCCTTTCGGAATTAAAACTGTGTTTTTTTTTCAAAATTATAATTATGTTCCCATGCATGTGGTGTAGCACCGTACTTATTTATACTCTTAGATTGCAATAAGTTTTCCGCAGACGCAGAACGATAGGCACCAGGCTCTCTCGCTCTAAGTAGACTGCGTTGTAGACTTGTAAGCGTTCAATGGCATAATTGTTTTCTTTCTTGAATAACAACTCACAGTCTTCGAAAAAATCTTTGTAGGAAATTGCGCTGATTCCGTGCGTGAATATTTCTCAATACCCAGTAGAAAAACAATCTATATTTCAATCTTTGACCTGCTTCGAAAAAAAAACACCAAGAGCGATCCTAGGGCCTTTGGCTCTTTTTTCATCGTTAAGTTCATCTTTTTTTCCGAACTGCGAGGTAAACGGTTGGCTTCGGCTACCGCGTGATCACTTGGTCCTGCAACCTCCGGTTTGGGAGAGGCGTCGTCGTCATGCACAACACCGGAGTTTTTAGCAGTTCTCGCAGGTCACGTCTCTCTTGCAAGGTGTTCGCGATACTGATTTGACCGATCCAACACTCGCAACTGCTAGGCGGGTCCGAAGTAGGTTTGGGTCAAAATGGGGGAACTCCTAGTAAGTCTGTACGGTCGTCCGAGACCGGAACTGCTGGCTGTGTCATGTGGTACCTAGAGAAACTTGTTGATAAAATTAAAACCAAGAACATGACTCATCTTCTGATATAGATATAAGTATGATTGCTACATAGTATTTGTCATGAGAATTAAATAGGAGTATCAATTTAAATTTTTCGTAAATTGATTGAGAGTAGTTTTGCAGTTTAGCAACAACGAAAGTAGTAGTTTGACAATTCGTCAACGACCTTGGAATCCATGTGGAAGCATACTTGAAATAAGATAGTATGACGTAATAATATGTTTAATCTATGCTGCACCAAACTGTCTAGAAAGATAAGCGATGGGATCTGATTCAGGTTTTTTGTTGTCGCTTAAACAATCGAGAACGTTTGTCTAGAAAACAGCAGATTGTTGACATGAATGATTTTCTAGCAACATTTAAACCCATTCATAACTTGGTGTCACAATTAGATTTGGCTCTTTCTAGTTTCCCACCACCTCGTAAAATTACGAATTAAAAATATTCAAAAAATTGTTCAAACGGCGTTGTGCATAAGAGAGTTGCTTCAAAATTTTTTGTTCACTTATTCACGCTGACACGTAAAAGAGTTTTTGTCATGCTCAATCATTTTAAATCGACTTTTGTACATTGAACTTCAGAAAAAATCAAAAGGAGGGAACGGAAAAAGAGCCTTAAATTTCAGCTGAGCAGTCAGGAAGAACCTTAACAAAGATTTGATTTTAACTTTTCGGGCTTGCTAATTTTAGATCAACCGTCGGTCCTATTCGTTCTTAAAGAGGCATTTTTCTTTGACAACCACGATATGGGCGTTTAAAAAGCTAGTTAATTAATTAACCCAACGCTCATTAATTATCCCATATTGACCAAATAATCTTGCTATATACCCATGTTAAAACATTGAAAATGTTGTAAATTGGCATCTTTATCGGTCGTATGATATGAGATTCAGTCAGAAAAAAAGTTGCCATTTGATGAGTTTTTCTGCAAAACAAAAGAACACATTCACAAAACCATGTCGATACGCACCATATTTAGTCAAAAAATATCTATTATGTCTATATATCTATTATATTGTGAAATGTGAGCGGATTCTGCAACAAGAACGCTCTCTTTGTTTTTCTTGTCTACACATGTTTACAGACTTGCTTACAACCTTTTTACAGGTTTGTCTGTGGACTCAGGGGTCCTACACACTTCAAACTGTGCTCTTATCCAGTGCACAGTTTGGCCAAAAATATCGCGAACTGTGCAAACTGTAAAATGAACTTGCAACGACTAAAAAATATTTTTTGGAAGGATTGTCAATTTATCTGAAATTTATTTGAAATTTTTCAAAATATCCTATTCAAAACATTACAAAATTTAGAAATAGAACAGTTTTAGCAATTCGGAAAACAAGAATTTTTTTCAAATCAACAAAATATTGGCGTTTGTTTTTATTTGATACCCAATCAAATTATGTTATGGTATCTCGTTGCTCTGAACAAGGGCTTGGGCGTAACACGGGCTTCATATCTAGTTATAAACAGCCTAATCAGCTCATAGAAAAAATTGTTGTCATCAAAATCAAAATTAAACTTTTTTTTGACAAAGTTTCTTATCAATGTTACACTTTTCTTTTTTTTCTAATTTGATCTGAAACTTAGAAACTTTCAAAATTTACATTTTTCAACACAATTTTTGAACAAAAATTGTGTTAAAAAATTAAAAATAATTCACAAATATTTCACTGTTAACTTTTTACGACGCATTCTTGTGCTACCTGAGTCTATATTGGAAACAAAACACAACGAACGCGAAATTGATTTCCACCTTCAATGATCGGAACAAAAGCATGCCAAAAATCACACGCGAAAACCACTACCGTTATACATTCAAAATTCTACATTTTAGGACAACAGTTTTTTTTCAGAATTGCACATACGGTGCGTTTAAATTTGACACAATAGGGCGGGCTGTATAGTCTGTTGATTATGTCTACAAATTTTTCAGAAAACTGTTGATCCCAATTCCTCAGAGAACGCTAGATGAGTCCCTGAATCCACAAAATCAAAAAAATGCTGATCAAACCAATTTCAACAGGAATTCAATTTGACCAACACCTCTTACAACACTTTGCTTTTGAAAAACCTGTTT